ATGGGGAGATGATCCTGGAATATCCAGGTGGACCCAGTGTCATCAGGGGAGTCCATACACATGGAAGAGAGGGGTAGAAGAGTCAGTAACAATGATGACATGTGAGAGAGAGCTGCCCAGCCGTTGCTGGCTTTGGATAGAGGAGAGGCCACAAGCCAAGGAATGTGGATTCTGGAAGCTGGAAAAGGCAAGGAAAGGGATTCCCTCCTACAACCTCCAGAAGGAATGTAGCTCTGCTGACTTCGTGATTGTAGCCCAGTAATGGATGATAAATTTGTGATGTCTCCAGGCACTAAGTTTATGGTAGTTAGAGCAGCAATCAGAAATGAACACAGGTACCAGGTATAGAAAATCATAAACAAATATTACACACTGGAATAATGCAAACAGTGTATCTTAAAGTCCCCTCTAAAGAGGACGGAAGGAAAAGGATTCTGGGAAGCTCCTGTGTGATACTCTGGTAAAGTCCCAGAGACTAATACTGAGCAGCTGTCTAGTGTCACTGATGCCCAGGTGTTGGAGGTCTGCTTGGACTGGATTCATGGAAGAATCCACACTGAACCGTCTTAATACCATAAGAAGTTTGTTTTGAAGTAGGAATATGTTTTTCTCCCCCTAAGGTAATGTGTCACTTATAACTTCAACATATGAACAGAGAGCCTTGTGTACTGCAGTGAACCATGAGCTCTGGAGGTCAGCTTTCTCAACTGTAAGGCAAGGAGGGGTTCTACACTTGACCATGATCAGAACCACCCGGAGGGCTCATGAAAATGCAGATTGCTGGGCCCCATCCCCAGCATTCCTGATTCAGGAGGTGTGCTGGAATGAAGCCAGAGAATGTGTCTCCAAAGGGCTGCAGGGGAGGCTGTGCTACTGGCTTGGGAACCACCCTCTGAGAAGCGAAGCATTAGAGGCTCTCCTTCTCTAACACTGTAAGGATTTGGGGTGTTTTCCTGTTCTGCATCTTTCCCATTAGCACTGACTTCTTGGTTCTCAACAGCCTGCTCTTGCACTGTCACTCTCTCTTCCCCTAGTATAGCATTTCAGATGTCCATTGTGCTTAACATTGAACAACAGTCCAGGCTAGACCTGGCTGATATGAAGTAGCCACAGATGTATCTACAAAGCCATTTTCCTCCCCTACTGCCTCCTATCACCTGCCCGATATGAAGTAGCCACAGATATATCTACAAAGCCATTTTCCTCCCCTACTGCCTCCTATTCCCTGCCCCTGCCCATTACGTAGTTAACTCGAAGAAAGAGCAGTTCTTCTAACTGGGAGCTGGCCGTGCACTCGCAGCTGGGCCTGAGTGTCCTGTTAAACAGAAACAATTCCATATAAAACCAACATCAGACAAGGCCACTCTGTGACCAGGATGGGATAAGATGAAAACAAGACCACACAGTAATCATATCTGAACATGGACAAAACATGCACCTTCTCCAAAACACAAACATGACAAAACATCTCGCAATCCTGGCTAATACAAATGACAGCTGCTGCTTTACCAACCATAGCTCTAGCCTGCCTCTAATTTTCCCCGCTTCTAGAGAACATTTGTTAAAACATCCAATCACAGAATTCCCCCTGGTAGCACCCAATTCAAAGTAATGTCCAGCTTCCTTAAACATTTCCCCAAGCCACCTGACACAAGTGCAAATCATCTAAGTCATCCTTCCTTGCACCATCTTACTGAGATGCCCCGAGGTTCCCACGGTGTCCGTTCTCCCTCCCTGTCACAAGAACCAGTTGTGGCTGGAGGGCAGCGATGACTCATACTCAACCAGATTTCTGCTCAAACATGATCTCCTCTAAGACACTGTCCTTGGCACTTTCCAGGCTAAGTCAGATTGGCCTTTTCCACTCTTCTTTTATGCACTCTCATGGCTTCACACTACCTATTGCCATGCGCATTGCATTCAAGTCAGCCTCCATTAGACTGAGAAGCCCAAACAGTCACGTCTCTGCTCTGCACCTGTTCTTAGCACAGTGAGTATACAAAGCACGTAAATAAACATTGGATGGATGGATAGATGAACAAATACTACTGTATGTAACATACATTAAAACAACTACAAACTCAAGAGTTGATGAGAGAATGTCAGTAACGCCAAAAGAACTGAAGTAGTAAGAGAAGAAACCACTAAGGTCTGTGCAACAAGGGCCACAATAAGCTTTTGCTTGTGCCAAGATGGACAGAAGTGGGTAAAGCTCATGTACAATTAAGGTGGGAGCCTCTTCTTCTATTTCTAACTCAAGACATTTGTAGAGACCGACCCATTATGTTCCTTTTAGCTTTAGTTTAGCATACAGCAGTCTACTGCCAATACAATAAATACATTGCTAAAGGCTATCCCAACTTTGTTTTTACTCTGGAATTATTTAAACAGAAATCATTTGCTGGGCTTGCAAACCCTTCACTACTCAGATTTAGGTAACCATACTATTTGTGTAATTGTAATTATAAGAGGCTTTCTCTGTGTCTGGCACTGTAGGCATGCATCTCCTAGCAAGTTCAGAGGGCATATGTTGATGGGCTTTTATAAGAGGTCATTTTGCAACTAACCAGCTTCACTTAAGGGTTAGGGATTTGGTTCTTTTCTGTCATTTTTCAGAAAACAAACTGTAAGATCCAGTTTTGCTGTTATCCATCCACAGAAAACTCATTGTCAGGCCACGTAAGAATATAAGTATATCAGAATCAGGCACAGTGGTGTAAGCCTGCAGTCCCAACTACCTGGGAAGATCTCTTCAGTCCAGAAGTTCAAATCCATCCTGAGCAACAGAGTGAGACCCTCTCTCTTAAAAAAAAAAAAAAAGAATAAAATTGCATCAAATTGATAAACTGGATAAATCTGAAAACCAGAGACTTGGAGAAAGGGGTGTGCCTCTGTGTGCACACACACAACCTCAGCCCATTAGATCACTCCATTGGAAGACATACAGAATGAAGGATTAAATTACTGTACTTCATTACAAATATACTGCTGGAGGTGCTTTCGAGAGAGCATGTGATCTTTAGTCACAAAGTACAAGCGCCTTAAATCCCACCATAAGCATGAATTAAATTACATTCATTTTGATATTATCACCTCTAAGTATTAACTCCTGAAATAAATGAAAATCAATGCCCCCTCCCCCTGCAATAAAGGTTATAATAAAGATTAAGTTTGAAAGGACTAATAGCTACAGGAGCACTCTTATTTTTCTTAGGAAGTTCTGAAGAATGAAAACAGTTCAAATCTGAAAAACAGGTCTGTTTCTTCTTAAATGAAGCTCAGTCCCCTTCTCATTGAGATACAGAAAACACAATCCGGCCATGGGAGAAGATGTTTGGATCTAAATTCCTTTTGTGCAATGCATAATCACCCAAAATGAAAAGTGATCAAAACAGAATTTTTGGTTACTTCGGGAGAAATTCATCCATTATTAAAGTGGCCTGTAAAGTTTAAAGTATATACTTCTGCCAACTAACTAAATCATCTTACGGGGCAAAGCAAAACAAGAGTGAGTTAAGGGTTCTGTCCCACAAAGAGAAGGAGGATTTCATGCCCCTTATGCATTCATTCAACAAATATTTAGGTCCTGCTCTGTGCCAGACACCAAAAAGGGCTGAGCAAACTATGCAACACTGTGCTGTCCCTATGGTCATAGAGCTTACAGTACAGGAGATAACTATTACGCACAAATATGTAACACTGCTATGAAAAAAAAAGGTGCTGTATGAGAAAATATAATGGGAACCAATTTAGACTGGGGGTGGCAAAGGGGATCAGAGAAAGGCACTGTGAAAAAAGTAACCTTTAAGCCAAGAAGCCAATAGATCACCACTACTTTAGAAAAGGAAAACCTTTTTTTGACAAATGACCGCAAATGGGATTTTAACTTTGCCTGTCAACAAGGGACTGGGTTAAACCTCCTCTTTTCCAATGCCTCAGCCTTTCTGAGCATGCTGACTAGTGTACTGGAATCCTATTACCTGAACACAGAAAGGTCTCACTTTATTATTATTTATTATAATCTGCAGCCTTCCTATGCTTGGCCTAAGAACATACAAAAATAATCTGCCAGAGGCTGAAAAACAGAGGGTGGCTATCAGGAAGAACATTATCTGGGTAGACCAAACATTTAATAGCCCAAGTAATCATTAATTCCCTTGCCAATAAAGTGGAAGCTTCTCTGGGCAGCAAGGTGGTTCCAATGCTCCGGGGTCTAAATCAAATGGGACCCAGGGGGCCTAAAGGTTGGTTGGTTACTTGGAACCTCAGTAAATCAAGGACTGGATTACCATTTCCAGGTCCCAGACCCTGCAGACTTAGAGGACGGTATGGGAAGTGGCCTTTTAGCATCACGGGGCAGAGAGCAATCTAGCTGGCTAGGCTGAAGGAAGGCAGCGGCGAGAGGGTCGGGGCCTGGAGAGAGGGGGGTGCAAAGAAAGGAGCCTCAGGTGCTCCGGACCCCGGGACTGGGAGCCAGGCCTGGCACTGGGGCGTTTCCCGCCCCACCCCCCCCAACCCCTCTCAGCCCCCAGCAAAGGCAACCCACCCCGCTCCAAGACCCCGAGGTTCTAACTTCCCCCGAAGCAGGACCAGGGGGCACCAGCAGCCCGACGCACGGCCGGAGCCCACCAGGTCCGGGTACCCGTGACCGCAGAGGAGGGCGCGCTCCGGTGCAAAAAAGGCCAAGACAAAACTCTCCCCGCCCACCCGAAAAGCCAACCACACCCCCTGCAACCCTCAGCCGGAGCGGCCTGGGGCCAGTCCCCGTGATTCTCCGCCCAGGCCCCCACGGGTTTCCGTCCGCGCCGTGCGCGGGCTCAGCGGGGACACGGGCGCAAGTGGGAGTGAATGGGGGTGCGCGAGGCAGGCGAGGGCGCCCACTGTGTTGTCTCCCGCCCGGATCCTGCCCCCGGGACGCCCTCCCGGGCTCTGCAGTTCTAGGACGGGCGCGCCGCCCGCAGGCAGAGGTGGACGCCTGGACGCAGGAAGCCCCCACTCACCCATTGGCGTCGAGCCGGGCCGGGCTGCCGAGGCAGCGTGAAAGTTGGCGGAGGCGGGCGTGGGGGTCGGGGCGCCGGGATCAGGGCGCCGGGAACCAAGCTCGGGGGTCTGGACGCGGTGGCGGCTGGGCGGGCTTCTTCCTCAGTGGCGGCGACGGCGGCTCAGCGCCGCCCGCTGCTGCCTCTGCCGCTGCTGCCCCGGGGCGACTCCTGCTGCTGCTGCTGCATCGCGACCCAATGCGCCCGGCTACGCCGGGTTTCCTGCTCCCCGCGAGTGGAAATTGCGAAAAAAAAAAAAAAAAAAGCGCCGCCCAGCCCAGCGCCCGGCAGCCACGGCCGCGCCGCCCGCTCTCCCCTCCTCCTCAGCGCCGCCGCGAGGCTCCAGCAGCTCCGCCTGCCGGAGACGCGGGGCCGCCGGGCGGGGGCGGGGCCGGAGAGGGGCGGGGCCCGGGCCGCGTCGGGGCAGGCGCTGGGGGCGTCCTTGCGGCTGAGGCGCCCAGGCGCCCTCCTCAACGCCCACGCCGAAGGGACCCTGCTCCGCACGGCTGCCACCCACCCGTGACGGCTGGGCTGACGCCCCGGGAAGTGCCGCGAGACTCCTCGAGACCGGAGAAGAGGGGCTCCGTGGAGGAGGGGCGTGGGAGTGCAGGGGCACGTGGAGAAGGAGGAGAAGGGGGCTGAGCGGGAGGGGGCGACGAGAGGAGAACGGGCTGGGGAGGGAGAACAGGGCATGCCAGAGGCCAAACGCCTGCTCAGGGTGATGGCAGGTGACCCTGGGGCAACGAGGCATTCAGGATTGAGGCTTCCCGGGGGGCTGTTGCGGGGGAAGGAAAAGGGTCCCTTGGCAGGGAGAGAAACGCGGCGTCCCTTCGGCGCGGCGTGAGAACGCAGGCAGGCTAGGTGCGAGTTCCGCACAGAGAAAGCGGTGGCACCGACGTGGCGAAGGACGCAGCGGGGCGGAGGGGACGCAACGCCTTGCAGGGACCCGCCTAAGCCCCGCCCCAGTGCCTGGGCCAGGTGGGGTTCGGGTATTGAGGAATGTTCCCAAGGTCTGGTGTTCCCAGGAATCCGCAGAGATCAGGGCTGGCTCCCTCCCCAGGAGGCATCATTGTGCCTTCTTGACCCCTAGACCTGGACGGCCGACCCTTGAGTGGGCGCCAGAATGGAAACAGAATCCGCGGGCCTTCGTGGGCAATTCAGAAGCTCCGTTTTGGGTTCATTCACCACCACACCTTTCACCATAGATACTCTGCCTGCCACCACATTCCTCTACCAGCCCATTATTTCCTTTTCCCTTTCCACCATCTGGTGGTAGGAAGTGATAGTGAAGTACATAGGAGACATTGAGGCAAAGAACACATAAGACAATAGAGAAATTAGATCAGTGGCCCCTGAAAATGGAGGAGGCTGAGGGCTAGTGGACTCAAAAGGGACAAATGAAAGCCGACCCCCTATCCAAGAGAGGGACTATCTCCATACCTCACCTATGATGGTGAGGCAACTCTTGTTTGAGGTTTTTTTAAAAAAACCTCAGTCAGTGTCTTGCCAACAGGAGATCAGTAGCATCATCTTTCTAAATATCGTTCATATGTGTCAGATCGATTGAAATTGACTAATCAAGGGACAGAAGGCCCATCCACACGGAGGCTGCAATTGAAGTCCTAGTGTCATCAACATCAGACTCCTTAAGAAGGGATCAGAAAACACGGAGATTAAGAATGTGAAGTAGGCCAGGTGTAGTGGCTCACGCCTGTAATCCCAGCACTTTGGGAGGCCCAGGCAGGCGGATCACCTGAGGTCGGGAGTTGGAGACAGCCTGAACAGCATGGTGAAACCCCGTCTCTACTAAAAATACAAAAATTAGCCAGGTGTGGTGGCAGGCACCTGTAACTCCAACTACTTGGGAGACTGAGGCATGAGAACTATTTGAACCCAGAAGGTGAAGGTTACAGTGAGCCAAGATGGCACCACTGCACTCCAGCCTGGGTGACAGAGTAAAACTCTTTCTCAAAAAAAAAAAAAAACTACTCAAATATTCCTGCTCCAGGCACCCTGGTGCCTCACTCATTGCAGGTCTTGTCATATCATGTTCTAATCAGGGCAATCAGGCCTTCTGTTGACAAACGCTGAAACTCACAGAGCTTGGATAAACCCTCTGCTATTGGGACTTTTCCCCCCCGCAACCCCTGGTTGGTATGGGGGTCTTCTTGCAGACCCATACCAACCAGGGGTTGCGGGGGGGAAAAAGAACTGGTATGGGGGTCTGCACAATTCCGGAGGTGGTTCTCTTTGCTAAGCCCAGGATCAGTGGGTCATCCTAACCTACTCTCTCAAAGAGCCTCAGACCCCTGAAAGTGATGAAGCACATTTCAACATGGAAACAGTTGTGCTGGTCTTGCAGTGGACTGGTATCTGGGGTGCTAAAGATTCTTGGCTAGAAGCCCAGTGCATTCTCACAGTGATGAGTCAAAATGAAATTGTTGATGATACCTTCCCATAGCTGAACTTACACAGGCATCAGAGAGGCCGCCATACCTAAACCAGCAGACAGGGTGCTGAATTCCATGGGGCTCAAAGAAAAAGAAAAAATCAGCAGTTTGTCTTATGTCCTGCTTGGTCTCTCTGTCCTATGTGGAGAAGACAGTCTTCTCATTGAATTTTATTTCCAACTTCACACAGGTGAAGACAGATCACTTGAAGTTTGGTAGGGGGGTTGTTTTGGTTTTTGTCTCTTTTTTTTTTTTTGAGACAGGGTTTCACTGTGACCCAGGCTGGAGGATAGTAGCATGATCTTGGCTCACTGCAGCCTCAATCTCCTGGGCTCAACTGATCCTCCCCCCTCAGCCTCCCAAATAGCTAGGACTACAGGCACACACCAACTCACGAGGCTAATTTTTGTATTTTTTGTAGAGATGGGGTCTCACTATGTTGCCCAAGCTGGTCTCAAACTCCTGGGCTCAGCTGATCCTCCCCTGCCTCAGCCTCCCAAATGCTGGGATTACAGGATAAGCCACTGCACTTGATCCGCTTGAAGTTTTGAGTCTTCTTTAGTCTCTGGTCTAGTTTAAGGTATACCTTTTCCTACTTGGACTGGAACGCGGTGTTGTTCCTCCTTGATCTGCTTCCTGTATGGTCAGATTTGCATTACCACAAAAGAAAGACTGATGGCAAGACAACATTTTTGAAAATCCCTGAGCTGTGCCCTAATTTTATTTTGTTTTCTTATTTTTATATTTTTGAGATGGAGTTTCACTCTTGTTGCCTAGGCTGGAGTGCAATGGCAGGATCTCAGCTCACTGCAACCTCTGCCTCCAGGGTTCAAGCAGTTCTCCTGCCTCAGCCTCCTGAGTAGCTGGGATTACAGGCATGCACTACCATGCCCAGCTAATTTTGTATTTTTAGTAGAGAAAGGGTATCACCTTGTTGGCCAGGTTGGTCTCGAACTCCTGACCTCAGGTGATCCACCCACCTTGGCCTCCGAAAGTGCTGGGATTACAGGCGTGAGCCACCGCGCCTGGCCATGTGCCCTAATTTTAATGCCTTAACTAAACGAAGTTGTGATGAGTCTATCCAAAACACTATACTTCGTTTTTCATTTTTAGGTTCTCTGAATTATGAAAATGAACATTTCATGTTTCACTTATTGTTTAGTTCTTCTGAATTGTTCCTATTGTCCTTTCATTTTTCCTTGGAGAAACTTTTGCTGACCAGCACAAGGGAAGTTAACATCAAGATTCAGATCCAGCTGCTGACATGAATAGATGCATAATTTCTCATCCTGCCTCCCTCCTACAAGAGTACCTTTTAACACAATGGTTAATGCAATATTTTAAATGATATGAATTCATCTCATGAATATTTCTTTGTTGTTGTTGTTGTTGTTGTTTTTTGACCGAGTTTCGCTCTTGTTACCCAGGCTGGAGTGCAATGGTGCGATCTCGGCTCACCGCAACCTCTGCCTCCTGGGTTCAGGCAATTCTCCTGCCTCAGCCTCCCGAGTAGCTGGGATTACAGGCAAGCACCACCGTGCCCAGCTAATTTTTTGTATTTGTAGTAGAGACGGGGTTTCACCAGGTTGACCGGGATGGTCTCGATCTCTTGACCTCGTGATCCACCCACCTCAACCTCCTAAAGTGCTGGGATTACAGGCGTAAGCCACCGCGCCCGGCCATCTCATGAATATTTCTAGAGAAACAGGATTTTATTTAATACCACATCTTTGTCCCACTGAACTCCCATTTCCACCAGAGGAGATGATGCATTTTGGGAGTAGAAAGTATTGGAGCTGTTACACTTAAAATGATATGATATGACTTAAAGGGCATTGCTGTGTTGCTCAGTAGTAACGTATTTTTTGATAAAAACTGAAGGTGTGGCCAGACATGGTGGCTCACACCTGTACTCTCGGCACTTTGGGAGGCTGAGGCAGGTAGATCACTTGAGCCCAGGAGTTTCAGACCAGCCTGGACAACATAGTGAGACCTGGTCTCCACCAAAAAAAAAAAAAAATACAAAAATTAGTCGTGTGAGGTGGCACACACCTGTAGTCCCAGCTACTCAGAAGGCTGAAATGGGAGGATCACTTGAGCCTGGGAGATTGAAGCTGCAGTGAGCCATGACTGCATCACTGCATTCCAGCCTGAGTTACAGAGCAAGACCCTGTCTCAAAAAAAAAAAAAATTGAAGGTGGGTGAGCCTCTGCCTTCATACTTGCTCTCTCTGAGTATTTGGACTTAACATCTGTAATTTGCATATAATAAACAATGGTTTGATAACCTTTAATATCATCTTTACATTAATATAAATTAAGTGTTGAGTGCTTTACAAAAGACAGTCATTATATAGTGCTTCTGATGAGCTTTATGGAGAAATGTAAAAATCTCACAGTGCCAGAAAGTAAAGATGTGCTCAACAGAGGTGCCAGGGCACATCAGAAGAGCACAGGAGCCAACCCCAAAAGGCTCCCAAAGGCTGGAGCAAGTCAGAGGATAAAATAAATGATTGTATTGGAATAAAATTAATATCTTTGAGTCTAGAAATACAACTAAATAACTGACTAGGGGAAAATATCAAGAAGGGACAAGTCTTCCTTACAGAGGAATTCCAATTAAAGTGTAGAAGAAATGAGAGAAAGGGAAAAGCATCATGAGAACATCACAGTAACTGCTGATATAGGCATGATCAACTACCGTTTTCCTTAAGGAGAAACAGGATACTTGCATAGCCTCAAAGTATTTTCCCTAAAATAAATATGTCTTAATATTTAAAGTGGGGAAAATAGTAACTTTACTTGGAGAACTCTGGCAAACAGCACTTTTTATATATACACACATATATATAAAGTATATGTATGTGCGCATATATATATATATATATATATATATATATATATATACTTTAAG